CTCTTTTAAAACTGGCAAATGTATGCACAAAATACCCCCTCACAAGGAGGCTGCCTATTGCTTCTCTGCATGATTCTCACAACTCACAGTTTGCTTTCTTTGCCTCATCTTCCTATAAGGGCTGGTAAACTGGTGAATTCAATGATTTCCAGTTCTAAGATGTGCAAGAATTACTGGTCCACAGGGAAGTTTGCCAGTTGCATCCTTGCATGAATCATTGCTTAGTGTTTATGCCATTTCATGTATAAAAAGTACAAAAATACCTGTGCCATCCAATGCTATAAATGAGTGGTAGGCAACCTAACGCTGTCCAAATGCTTAAGACTGTAATTCCCATAATTTGTGACTTTTGGCTAGGGCTGATGAGATTTGAAGTCCAAAGAGGCATCAGGTTGCCTACTCATACTGTGTATGCTTATTCTGGAGCAAATACTGTTGTGTTCACTAGCCTTTACGTGAACACAACAGTATTTGCTCCAGAATAAGCATACACAGAATAAGCATACACATAAGAGGTGTGCAGACAAATCACAGTCTAGGAATACCACCACCATGTCTGAGACCATTTCATGATGAACAGTATAATCCCTAGCACACCATGAGAAAACCTCCTTGGGATGAACTAAATTCTCTCAATCCTGTAGCAGTCCTCATAAAGGCACTAACAATTCTGATTGTATCTCTTGCTTCTGCACTCTAAAGCTCATTCAGGGCCCATTAAAAGTGTTTGACATGTGTCAATGGAATTTAGTGCCAGTGGATGTATGGAATGTCTTTGACTAAAATTGCCCCATGTTCCTCTCCAGCTATGAAATGAGTCTGGAGAAAACTGAGAACAAGTCCTAGAAAGGACTGACTTTGTGAACCAGGTGTGAAGAATATGCTTTGTAAGACAAGAAAAAAAGCCCCCATGGAAAGCAGTGGCTAGCACCACAAGAAGACATGCTGGACTGCTGTATTCAAGCTCAATTCTTCAAGTGAGAATAAAAAGAGAGAGCACTTTGGCTTGGAGTCATGTGTTCCATATCACATCCAAGCCTTATGAACCTTGTCATTCAGCAAAGTCTTAGCAGGAAAGGAAAGGAAAGAATTGAGCACCCACCTAAAGAAACTCATAGGGTGGTCTTCTTTGAACTGGGCCTTTGAACTGGAATCACTGATTGAACATTAAGGACGGAATCAGGAATGTGAAATCAGGGATCTCTGCTTCAATGGCATCACTAGGGTTGATGCCACTCAGCTCAATGCCCCCTCCCTCCCCACCATTGCCTTGCTCACCAATCCCCCAGCCAGCTGACCATCCACCATCCAACAAGACCCAGAAAGGGCTGCTGGGGGCAGGCAGCTGGCAAGTGAGGCAGTAAAGGGGAGGCAGGGACAGAAGATGAGCTTCTTGTTTGAGCTTCTCTACTGCTGGGCAATGGGAAGGCCAGCAGGAGCATGTATCTGCTGCCTTGCCTTCTGTCTCACTGCTCTGTTTCCCTCAGCAAAGAGAGCCAGGGAAATAGGTAAGCCAGCAGGGACATGTGTGTGTCCGCACATGACAGCAACACCACACATGCCTGCAATGGGCAGAGGGCCAGACCTGATGTCACCCCTCTGCTGGGGTGTCACCTGGTGCAATCCACGCCCTCCGCAATCCTTAGTGACACCACTGCTCTGATTGAAGATCAGAAATGGAATCAGGTATGTGGAATCAAAAATCTCTGATTGAAGATTTCTGTTGATTTTCTTTACAATCTTTACGATCATTATCTGAGGTGCAGGAGGACTGGGATGTGATGCCAGTGTTCTGGAGCAAACATTAAAGTTGACGTTCATAATGCTGATTTATTAATGTCATTTTGCTACCCTGGGTAATAGTTTATTACCAATGACCTTTCCCTAAGAATATTGTCTTTCCCAACTGACTTCAAAATAACATTCTGCTTTCCCAGCATCAGATTCACAGTGCAACGATAGGCATGTCACTGCCCAAAGAGTAAATGCTTAATTTATTATTCACCAGTCTCTGCGGATTCAGTGTCACTCTGAGTTAGCAGAAGTCCTCATGTAGTTGCGTTCCAGACTGCAGTTTAACATGCATGGAAGCAGAAGAGATAATGCTAAAATAAGGTCACTGATATTCTACATGAACATTTTTTAGTTCTACTCTCTTTTTGGTTAAATGTCTGGAAACTACACTAATGCCACTATTATGTTCCTAATAATAGTAATAAGGCTTAACACTTGTATAGCACCTTTCCCAGCTCTTGGTACATTTGCAAAACTCTAAATAGTCATTAAATAATCTACACTTTGGACCTAGCAATTTATCATTATACCTCAATCATGAACATTGTTGGCATAAGAAGTACACTTCAAGCTTTCTAGCAGTTTAAAAACATGAGAATTAATTCAAAAACCTTCAATTATAAAGTGCTATGATAGCTTTCTTTAGCTTGGGCCATGAGATGATGATGATGATGATGATTCCAGAAAATTGAAAGAAAAGATGGGTTGCATTTTACATTTCAGCTACTCACTATATACAATATGTGTCCTTTCATCCCCCATAAACTAGATAAAAATCACTCAACATATTTCACCCAAACAAAATTGTTTTTATTCCAATGGGAGAGAAATTAGAATGTTTAATTCTCCTAGCAAGATACCTAAGTACTCTACTCCATTTGCAGTTTATTTATTTACTGTGGGTTGTATCCAGACACAAACATGATGGGCCACAAATGGGTTTAGTATGCACTTTCTTTTTATAAGTGACTACTGAACCAGAAACACAACAAAATTAAAATCAATTGGAAATTTACTGAAATTACAGATAAAAACAGTGAGGCCGTGGCATAAAACAAATAATACCATGTATTAAAAAATTAATATAATCAATGAAGTAGTTGTAATGTGACTATCAGGAAGTAATAAATAATAAATGAAATAGCAAAGCTAATTTTATTAACTAATTGAGACATATCAGATGGCAAAAGGGACACAAGAACAAGACGAAAATTGTTTGTTAACTAATGAGCCTTAACTCATTCTAGTATCATCTCCAGTCCAACTAATTTAAGCATTTTCAATCTGCAGCTCTAACAGAAACCTGTATCTATCTCCATCTGAGAATTTGGGATTCTTAGAATGTTTGGGTTTTTTTTAAAAAAAGTTCCATTAAGGATTAAAAAAGGTTCTCCAGGAAAGAGTTTGAAAAGTGTTCAAATATAATCTACAATGATTTGGAGAAAACAAAGAAATAAAATGATGAAGACCCAGAGATGAAGAGGGAAATTCAAAAGAGTTTATCTTCTAAAGAGGGAAACATATTCAGAGCTTTGGGAAAGAAAGTGGCAGCAGAAAAAAAGAAGCACTAACAAGGATAGCTAAATTGCCCATCTGTCCATTTTGAGAGAAAGCAATCAGGATGCAGATAAAATAATCATAACAAAGCAGAAAGCTATAGTGAAAACCCAGACACCAACTTTGTTTAAGGGGGTAGGAGTGTACCATTATTATGGCCTCTCTTTTCACAATTTTGACTGAAAATAATCCTCACACCTCCTATGAGCTGGGGGTAAATTTGCCAAGGGGGAGCCTTTATTTAAGAAGCAAGAAAACCAGAAGCTGATATTTATTTAGTTCAGTTTTTTGTTTGTTTGCTTGCTTGCTTGCTTTTTTCTTTCTTTTCTTTTCTTTTTCATTTTTTTTAGTTTACTTGGAAACTAAATCCAGATAGGCTTTGAAAATAATCAGTTGCATGCATAATTACTCATCTCCTTTATGTTGCAGACAAAATGAACAAGTGAGGGGATTTCACAGGTGAACGCAGAAAAGTACAGAATCCAAAATCAAATCTTGGAAAGGGATGAGGGTTGTAATAGTTGTTGCCAATTCTTGGTTTTGCTGTTATATTGCATGATGAATACTCCCATTTCAAAAGTTGGGAAGGAGGAGAGGATAAAATAGGGTATGATTTGACAAACCCAAGAAGTTTTCTTTTAGGAAAAACACCATAAAGACTAACTAGATAAATAAATCACAGTGGCAGTTTAGCAACTCCTGGAGAGCTCATTTCAGCAATCAACAGCAAACAAAGAATTATTAAAATGAATGGGAAATCTGAGTTGCATATTGCATTAAATAGGCTTACAGCTTTGATGAAAGAAAGATAAAAAGACACTTTTTGCCTCTGTTTATTTATCCACCATGTCAAACTTAGCATCACTGGAAAAAATGGGTGAGTGGATCACTGGCCTCTATGAACTGTATTTTATCCATCAAAGGCAATTCTTATTCTTGAAATGTGTTTCAAATCCTTCTAACAAAACTGATTGTTTTTCTTAGGTGAGTGAACATTTTAGATTCCACTTGCATTATTAAAATGGAAATAAAGATGCTTCCATTTGCCAGAAAACCTGAAATGTGTTGCATTAAACAATTACATAATAATCTTTTTTCATCTTATAACAACAAAAGAAAATGGGTATCATGCAGCCAAATCAAGCCCTTTTAAGTCCCTTTGTTTTCAGTGGGAGGATTTAGGCATCTGCTGGAAGAATTTTCTTATTGAAATCCAAACATTATGGAAGTTATTTTTTTCTAGATTTGATTCCATGTTTTGTAACCTAAAATGCAGCTAACTCTTTCTCCATATATATTCTTTATCTCAGTGGTCTTCAAACTGCATTCAGAAGTTCCCAGGGTTCTTTATAAAGCTTATCTGAAAGGAAGGATCACATTCAATGGAAAAACATGTCCTTTGCATGCAAATGTCTCCAGATTCAATCATGAGCAACTCAATGTAGATCTAGGGAAGATTCCTGTCTGAACCTCTGCAGAGCTATTGCTAGATGGCACTGTTTAAAACAGGGATATGTAGGCTGCATTTCAGAGGAAAAGCCACAGTGGGCAAAGACATCTTGCCTAAGAAAACCATATGAAATTCATGGGGTCACCATAAGTCAACAGGCAACTTGAAGGCATAACTACATACACACATATGTTAGAGAGCAAGTGTGGTTTAGTGGTTTGAGTGTTGGATTATGACTCTGAAGACCAGGGTTTGAATCCCTGCTCAACCCACTGGGTGAACTTTGGCAACTCACATTCTCTCAGCCTCAAAAGAAGGCAAAGGCAAACCTCTTCTGAACAAATCTGACCAAGAAAACCCTGTGATAGGTTCACCTTAGGGCCACCATAAGTTGGAAATGACTCGAAGGCACACAATAACAAATGTTCCTGTGTGAGGTTCCATAGCAGGAAGACCAGTCCTGGAATCAAAACCTCCATGAAAAACAACTAGTTCATTTTAACTATTGCTCTCACTGTTATATAACTACAAGGGAGTAGTGGGTGTCTAGCCACAGGGTGCTATAGAGGGACCCAAGCAACCTGGCCAACAATACCTCATGTAAAGCAAGTGTTTGCCCTTGAGCAGAAGTGCCACACATAATTTAATGCCTCTTTTTTGAAAGCTGGAAACTTCATTCTGCTCCCCTTTGTTTTCTTTGCAATCTTAGGGAGCATCTGAAAGGGTCTTCCTACAAGGTCTTTGGCCTTGCTGTCACACTCCATGAATTATGACCAATCTTCCTACTATGCAGGGTGAAGTATCTGCCTCAGGCAGCAGGTTTGGGGTGTCACAAAAGAGAAGAAACGTGTTGGTTGTTCAGTTTTTTAGCATAGGCCCTAAATACCCCAAAGGCCTCGATCCTGTCTGATCATGGAAGCTAAGCAGAGTCAGTCCTGGTTAGCATTTGGACAGGAGACAGCCAACAAATTCCAAGTGCTGTAGACTCTATATGAGAGGCTGGAACCACCTCTGAGTATTCCTTGCCAAAGAATATCTTATGGAGTCCACAGGGCTGCCATAAGTTGACAAGGAGCTTAGACACACACACACACTATATTTTTACCACCAGGGATCAAGAGAAGCCCTCAGGGGTTCTACTGCCTCAGGTGTCCCAACAGCATGGTTGGTTTTGGGTATGGTGAATCTTAACTCAGGTGGTTGAGGAATATCATTTGTTCCTCTGCCTCAGGTAGCAAAATATTTTGGGCCAGCCCTGCCTGCCACAGGCAGGCAAATACACTCATTGTGAACCTATGGCTTCTGCCAGGATCTACAATGGCACCTGTGGAATTGCAAGGAGATGTCCTTCAGAATTATTAAATGCCATTGCTTTTCTGTCTTCTGAGTTTTCTGTTTTCTATACATTTTGGCACAACCTATTTCACTCCTCATTGGGATTCTCAAATTGAAAAAGTGGTGGGAAACATTCTGCTTAAATTTCGGGTTGTGTGCAGAATTGAAGAGTGATCCCTGTGGCTTCTCCTCTTGCCTTTCCATTCACAGGAGGTACAATTTCAAATGCAGTCCTCAGTGTCATCAGCAAATCTCCTTTCCTCTGGGGATGTATATATCTTCCAAAACATGATTACAAGCAGCAAGGCTCTGACAAGGAAGGAGCAGCCTCCCGCTGGAATTGGCTGTGAAAATATCTCCTAAAGAATTGCTCTAGGAGTACAGCTCTTTCTCCTGAGGCCTCTGTGCTGATTGCTCCTGCAGGAGAGGATGAAAGCAGATTTTCAGGTATGATTCTAGAATAGAAAACAACACCTGGAGTTTACATATGGGTGTGATGACAGCTGTGAAAGCGGCAAATTTGAGATCAGGGAAGGAACCAGATATTAAATAGGCATTTCATTAAAGTGTGATGTCATTTTCATATTTATTTATCATTAAAATAGTTGGTTTTTATAATTACTATTTATTTATTAAACCCCATTATAGGTTTGCCTTAGGATCACCATAAGTCAGAAACTACTTGAAGGCACACAACAACAACAAAACGTATTTATTACTTCTCAGTTCTGACTTTCCATTAAATAATACCATTAGATATATAATTACAAAGTGGGGGGGAAACCAAATAAGAAACATAAGCTATAACATGCAAATCATCTACATATTCAAAATCATTAAAATTAGTGCAATAAAAATGTTTTCAAGAAAGCTGGGCTGAGGATGCAGAACTGACTAAGCATCTACTGAATGCCTCCTGGCAAAAAGGACATTATTATGTAGGGGTATATAGGGATTGGAAAGGATAACTAGGGGGGGTTGCAGACTGCCAAAAATAGTGCAAATTGAGTCCACTTTTAGGGTTAGGTTTAGGGTTAGGGTTAGGGTTAGGGAATCATGGGGACTGTAGTTTATTGTGGCACCAGAGCTCTCTAACAGAGAAGGCTCAATGTCCCAGGAAAAAAAAACAATTCCCATAATTCCCTAGCACTAACCCTAACCCTAAAAGTGGACTCAATTTGCACTATTTCTGGCAGTCTTCAATCCCCCTAAGGCAGTAGATGAAAGCAGTGGCTGATAAGGGTGTATATACCCTATGGAGTGAATTTGGCCCTCAAACCCAAATTTTTTTGGGGGGGGAAACAGGATCCTTCTGTCCTTCCCAAAATAATTTGGGAGGAACAAAACAAAACAAGCTAGAAAAGAATTCACAAAGGCTCCCAGGACTGGTAATTTGCTGTGAAGCACTTACACTATGAACCACTAAATCTATTTATTGTTGTATCATTTCAAGTTGTTTCTGGCTTGTGGTGACCCTAAGGGATTTTCTTGGCAAGATTTGTTCAGAAGAGTTTGCCTTCCTCTGAGGCTGAAAGTGTGTGTCTTACGCACAGACACCTAGTAGGTTTGCATGGCTGAGAGAGAATTTGAATCCTGGTCTCCAGAGCTGATGTCCAGCACTCAAATCACTCTACAGTGACTTAAATGTACTTAATTGGTCAGGAATAGGCTGGAAAATGGCCAAAAATAGAAAATAGAAAATGAGGATGAGAAATGATTTCTGGCCATTTCCTAGTTGGTTGCATTTTTAGTTGACATTGGATTGAAAATGTGGAGGAGAGGCATGCCACTGGATGTAGGTTGGTTCCTATCTCTTCTACTCATGCTCTATAGTTACTACAAATTTGGAGATTTTTAAAATCAAAAACACACTGCAGAAATAATCCAGTTTGAGACTGCTTTAACTGTCCTGGCTCAACTAGGGAATTATGGAAACAGTAGTTTTGTGAGACATTTAGGCTTCTCTGTCAGAGAGCTCTGGTGCCACAATAAACTACAATTCCCAGAGTTCCCTAGTACTGAGCCAGGGCAGTTAAAGTGGTCTCATAGAATCATAGAATCATAGAGTTGGAAAAGACCACAAGGGCCATCCAATTCAACCCCCTGCCATGCAGGAATCCAAAATCAAAGCATCCATGACAGATGCCCATCCAGCCTCTGTTTAGAGTCCTCCAAAGAAGGAGACTCCCCCACACTCCAGGAGAGTATATTCCACTGTACAACAGCTCTCACTGTCCAGAAGTTCCTCCTAATATTGAGGTGGAATCTCTTTTCCTGCAGCTTGC